AAAAAAAAAAAAAAAAAAAAAAAAAAAAAGCTATTATTAGACATGACAACTAAATGCACAGCATGATCCTGGATGAGGTTTTTTCTTTTTCCTTTCCTTTCTTTATATTTTATTACTTATTTATTTTTGGCTGCATTTTTTTGGTCTTCGTTGCAGCACACAGGCTTTCTCTAGTTGTGGCGAGCAGGGGCTACTCTTCGTTGCGGTGCACGAGCTTCTCATTGCGGTGGCTTCTCTTGCTGTGGAGCAAGGGCTCTAGGTGAGCAGGCTTCAGCAGCTGTGGCACGTGGGCTCAGTAGTTGTGGCGCATGGGCTTAGTTGCTCCGTGGCATGTGGGATCTTCCTGGACCAGGGCTTGAACCCGTGTCCCCTGCCTTGGAGGTGGATTCTTAACCACTGTGCCACCAGGGAAGCCCTCTTTTCCTTTCTTTTTAAATAATGGACACGACTGGAATAACTGGTGAAGTCTGAATAAGGACTGTAGCTAAGGTCTGTACTGCATCAGTGTTAATTCCGTAATTCTGAATATCGTCATGCGGTTCTATAAGAGAATGTCCTTGTTCTTAAGAAATGCACACTGAAGTATTTAGGGGTAAAGAAGGAGTTTGAGATGTGTAACTAACTCTTAAAGGGTTCAGAAAAGAATAATAGCATATAAAGAGAGAAAATTATAAAGCCAGTGTGATACAGCGTTATCAACTGAGGACTCTGGGAAAAGGGTGAATGGGAGTTCTTTGTACTACTCTTGCAACTTTCCTGTTAAGTTCAGAATTGCTTTAAACCTAAAAGTTACCCCAGGGCGGGAGAGGTAAATTGGGAGACTAGGATTGACATATACATACTACGATATATAAAACAGGTAACTAATAGGGACCGACTGTATAGCACAGGGAACTCTACTCAATACTCTGTAATGACCTATATGGGAAAAGAATCTAAAAAAGAGTGGAGATATATATATATATATATACACACACAGCTGATTCACTTTTCTGTACAGCAGAAACTATCACGGCATTGTAAATCAACTATACTCCAATAAATATTAATTTTAAAAATAAATAAATAAAATAGGGCTTCCCTGGTGGCGCAGTGGTTGAGAGTCCGCCTGCCGATGCAGGGGACACGGGTTCGTGAGCCGGTCCGGGAAGATCCCACATGCCGTGGAGCGGCTGGGCCCGTGAGCCATGGCCGCTGAGCCTGCGCGTCCGGAGCCTGTGCTCCGCAGCGGGAGAGGCCACAACAGTGAGAGGCCCGCGTACCGCAAAAAAAAAAAAAAAAAATAAAATAAAATAAAATAAAATAAAAGTTACCCCAAAAAAGTTTTTCAACTGATCTCCATCATAATCAGTCTAAGTCCCCTTCCTGGGTCCCCAGTGCTCCGTGTCCCCCAGTGCCTGTGCCTGAAGTCCATGCTGTCCAGCCTGGCCTCACCATCACTGGGCATTGAGCCACCTGCCCAGCCCCCTTTCCCTCTCCCAGGCCCTCGTTCCTCCTGCCAGGTAAGCTTCCCCATCCAGATCTCCTGGCCACCTCCTTCCTAAAGGGCTAAATGCCACCATTCTTCAAGGTCAGCTCAAGGCCGCCCTTCTCTTCCACTGCATCTCTCCTCTGGACCGGAGTGCGCACCCCAGTTTCTTACCTCTTCTCCTCCCGTATATCGGTCGCACACCATTAGAAGGGCATATGGGGTCCTGTCTGCCTCCCCCAGTGCTGCCTGTGCACAGCTGATCATTCAGCTGCTTACATAGAGTCAGGGTGAGGTTCTGGAAGCCTCAAAACCCTGCATTCGGAATGCTAGGCTCTGGCCTGGACTCTATGCCCTACAGTGTCTCTGTGTCCTCATGCCTGACACTGGCTAAGGGGATGGCTTCACTATGGAACGAGAACATCCAGGGCACGTGACAGTGTCGGGCACACAGGAAGCATCCAGAGAAAGGAAGCAGTTCCCTCCTCCTTCACCCCACCAAAGCCCACAACCCCACTCCCACACCCTCACTTCCCACCTTTCACCTGAAAACGTAGTTCTTGTTTCTTCTATCTCTTGGCCCTTACAAAAGTCTGGTTCTTTCCTACAAACATCTTACACCCCGTGTCCTTTCCTCCTTAGCTTCCTACACATTCTCCCAAAATAGCTGCTAACATGTACTGAGCATCTACCCAATTCTGACACTGTTCCAAGTGCTTTACATCTAGATGTGAACTCGTTTTGTTTTCACAGTCACCCTGTAAGGTCTGTGCCATCACTGCCCCCATTTACAGATGAGGAAACGGAGGCACAGGACAGTGAGGAAACGGAGGCACAGGACAGCGAGGAAACTTGCCCGAGGTCACAGCTACTGGGGCTAAAGGCATTATGGGGATCTAGCACCACTTTCAGGCTCAGAATATCTGAGATGGATCTTGTCATCCTCCCTCACTAGCCAGAGATTTTCCTCAACTTCTCCGTTTCTGACAGCGGTCCCACTGACGTCTCAGACCCCAGACTAGAAACCTTGGCGTCCCCTGACGTGACTGTCAAACTATCAGAAACTCCTGTAATGTAGGATGACTGCCTATTGCCTGTTATGTGGCTTTCAAACACCTCTGTGTGCTTTCTGGTCCCAACCGGTACCACCTTCCAGGGCTCACCTACCCCAAGCCCCACTCCCAGAAGCCAGGCGTCCCACGGACTCAAGCTCCCTGCACTGCCTCCTCCTCTGGGCCCTGCCTAGCACAGCCTTCCACCTTTGCTGGCTTATCTGAATCTACCGATCCTTCCAACCTACACCTCCTCTGAAAGGGTTTTTACCAAAATTAGGGTCAGTACTGCACAGTTTGGGGCGTCCAATCCTTTCATGTCTTTGTTTCCACTTCTCAAACAGTGAGTCCCCTGCAGGCAGGGACATGTAGGGCTGCCTGGGTCCCTCCTGTTTTTGGTGCTGCCCTGACCCACAGCAGAGAACTAAAGTCCAGAGGGGAGAGGATGGTCTGAAAGCCAACGTACCTTATCACAACATCGAACTGGTTCAGGGCCCGGCCCAGCTCTAGCCCGTGGAGGATTCCACCACTTCCAATGACCACACAACGCCTGCAGCTCTTGGCTTTCAAGTGTGCAGGAAAGTCATGCTCGGGCAAGAGTTCCAAGAGGCTCTGGACTTTCTCGGAGAACTTGCGGAATCCGAAAGGAGGGTCGTACTTGTACTCGGCCTCGCTCCCTGCGGGGGCCTTCGTCACGAAAGGTGGCAGGTCCGAGGTGTACCTGTGCCTGAAGAGCTGCACCATCGACCTCTTGGCGAACTGGGGCCGGCATTCCTTCTGCAGGACTTCCTGGGCATATTGCTGGGCTCTCTGGAATGAAGCACACAGGCCTGAGCTTCAAAGGCTCTCAGGCATCATAAATATACTCTGACAGGTGACACTTTGTCCTGCGATGTTTGGTGTAGCTCCCTTGTGGATGACTGTCTTGTAACACAAAACGTCTGCTTTAGGGGGCTTCCCTGGTGGCGCAGTGGTTAAGAATCCACCTGCCGACGCAGGGGACACGGGTTCGAGCCCTGGTCCGGGAAGATCCCACATGCTGCAGGGCAACTAAGCCCGTGCGCCACAACTACTGATCCTGTGCTCTAGGGTCCTTGATCCACAACTACTGAGCCCACGCGCCACAACTACTGAGCCCACACGGCACAACTACCGAAGCCCGCGCGCCTAGAGCCCGTGCTCTGCAACCAGAGGAGCCACTGCAATGAGAAGACCTCGCACCGCAATGAAGAGTAGTCCCCCTCTAGCCCGCGCGCAGCAACAAAGACCCAACGCAGCCAAAAGCAAATAAATAAAATAAATAAATTTTAAAAAACAACAACAAAAATCTGCTTTAAAGAGTTAATTTATGCTAGAAACTTGAGGGGGAAACATGGGAGAAGCACATGACAAGGAGACAAACTCAACAAGGGTATTTATTTCACGGCACAAGTAGAACAGGAAGGACTCCCACCTCCTACCCTCCCAGCCTAAGCTGTTCAAATAAATTCGGGGTGTTCAAATAAATTTTGAACAAGATTTGAACAAATCTGAACAAATTTTCAAATAAATTTTGAACAAGTAAATTTTGAAGAAATTTTGAGGTGTTTAAGCTGTTCAAATTTGAGGTGTTTAAGATTTCATGTTTCATAAAATCCTGACATGGGAATTCCCTGGTGGTCCAGTGGTTAGGACTCTGTGCTTCCAATGCCGAAGGCCCGGGTTCGATCCCTGGTCGGGGAACTAAGATCCCACAAATCGCGTGGTGTGGCCACACACACACACACAAATCCTTACATGCGCTACAACGTGGATGAATCTTGAGGACATTATACTCAGTGAAATAAGCCAGCCACGAAAAGACAAATACTGTAGGACTCCATTTATAGACGGTATCTAACAGTCAAATTTGCAGAAATAGGAAGAACAGTAGTTACCAGGGGCTGAGGGGGAGGGGAAATGGGGAACTGCTGTTTAATGGGTAGAGTTTCAGTTCTGCAAGATGAAAACGTTCCAGAAATCTGTTTCACAACAATGTGAATATACTTAACAGGGCCAAACTATGCATTTAAAAATAATGAAGACGGTAAATTTTATGTGGGTTTCTTTTTTAAACACAATTAAAAAAAAATGATTTCCGGGACTTTACTGGCGGTCCTGTGGTTAAGACTCCGAGCTCCCAATGCAGGAGGCATGGGTTTAACCCCTGGTCAGGGAACTAAGATCCCACATGCTGTGCAGCACAGCCAAAAGAGAAAAAGATTTCCTATTTCAGGTTCCTGTCTAGTTGGATGAGAAACAGGCTTATTTATCAGAGGGAGTAATGAGCTTCACACAGTCTGGAATGGGAACCAGGTGTAACCTGCCACGGTGTCCGGTCAACAAAGAAGTTGCCTTGGTTTTGTATACCATCTTCCCTGCACGTTAATATTTTGCAACAACAAGAAATGACTGTTGAAGGCCAAGTACACTAGCCCGGCTGAACACAGCAAGACACGGAGAGACAAGGGACAGACACCCACTTGCCCCCCAGTCTGCCCCTGGGCTCAGTCTGGCCAAATGCTGCCTCGGGATCATCTGGCAGCATCACTGAGCTTTCTGTCCTCATTGCCACGTGCAGCAGTCTTGGCCCTACCGTATCCCTCCTCCCACCAAGCTGCGTGTGTGTGTGTGTGTGTGTGTGTGTGTGTGTGTGTGTTCCTCTATTTTATTTGCTGGGATATTTATTTTTAGGATTGAATATGTCTTTTGAACTGTGTCAGTACTATTATGAGGATTATTATTGCCATATACAGTTTTAAATGTTTGTCTCAACTATGTTTTTCCTCAAAGTCTTGTCTGATTTTTGTATAATAAAATTTTTGTGGAAATAATAATCTTACTGCAGGAGAACCCCACTCCCTTTTCTTTAAATTACAGCTTCAGAAAGTTCTTAGTACTGGGAAGAGCACGCCGTCTACATCTTAAGAGTCTGGCCCCATGTCTGAAGAAGGGAATGGATTTTCTTTGAGCCTCAGAAGATGCCGCAGACACGACATAAGGTCACTGTCTGAGGTCACCGGCACGACACCTAGGACACCTCGCAAGACGGTCCTGAGCTTTGTGGGTTGCAGGTGGCACACCCAGGAAGAGGGCTGAGCTGGCAGGCTCACGTCGCCTCATCACCTCCCAAACCCCTACAATCCCAGCCTCTGCCCACAGAGAGCAGGTGACAAACACCACCACTGATACCTCGCGAATTAGCGTCTTCGCGAGGAAATCGGTCGTAACCCAGAACAGCCCCTGAGCGGAGGGCTCGCCCTGACCGGGCCTCCAGGTTGGTGACACTCTGCACCTACAGGCACTTAATGCCCAACTGGGGGGCAGGGCAAGCAGAGGAGCCACATGTACTATCCATACTTGTCTCTACACCCCGGGCCTGAGGGTTGTGAACAAGTTTTTAGAGAACAAAAGGTCTAATTCTTCACTATGGAAGGACATCCCAAGCATCTTGTTTTACAAATCTCCTGGGATAGAAATGAACATCCGAGAAGCGCCAAGAGACAGAAGCTTAGTGACTGACTCAGGACTGGAGAGAGAGGTGAGGTGATGGAGCCGGACACCGGAGCACGACTCTCTTGGGCGCCAAATGTTCTAGTTTCATTTGGAAGGAGTGACATTTCATTCCATTTCCATTCTGGCAAAGAGTTCCATCTCAGGCTTCAGACTTAATTTTCTAGACTGTGGAAAGAGCATCTTCTGATGGTGACCCCTCCCGTCCCTCCGCAGGTGCAGTCAATGAATCCCAGGGACAATGTTCTAAATGCCACTGGAAATGGCCAAAGCCACAGCGATTCCTTTCCTTCTCTTGTTTCAACTTGTTTAAACATGTAACACGCCCCATAAGTGGCTCAGCCTCCCTCCTTCCTCTTTCAGGTTTCAAAGCTCAGAAGAAAAATGCCTCGGGAGGACAGCTCGCCTCGTGGAGCTGCGGTCATGACCGCAAGCATCTCGACCTTCCTCTTCTCCACTGCAGACAGTGCCAAGCCTGGGAGCTGGAGCAGGCTAGAGAGGAAGGACGCAGTGGGGTCCGGATGGCATCCGTCTCGGACGAGAACCACTGGGAACCAGAGGACTGGTGACCTCCCCAAAGATACAGGAACCCCTCTTCTCCCAAATCGAGGCATGGACACAAGAGCTTCATTTCTTGAAAGGCTTCAAGGCTGAGCTTGCTGGCTGCCCACAACTGAGAATAAACAGACATCAGGCAGTTTCAGTTGTCACTGATGTGGCGATGTACCACGGAAAACCACAATGTGAGAATCCCCTGAAGGATATGAAACCATGATGTGAGAATCCCCTGAAGGATACTAAAAAACGAATTTCCCTCAGTAAAAATCTCCATTTTCATTTCTACCCCATAATTTTTAGGACAACCCTTCTCAGAAATATAGGTTAGTGGCATAATTCTTAGTAAAAGGCAATGTGTTCTTTTATTTATTGATTTAAACCCAGGACAGGGCACAGCATGTGGGATGAAGGAGAGTTTGGGGCCTGGGGCTGACTGGACCTGGGTAGGAGCCCAACTCCGCCACGGACCGCATGAACCGAGGGTATGACTTATGCAACAACACTTTCCTTTCCACGTTTGTAAACTCTGGTTTAACTTCCATGAGTCAGCTGTCTGTAACTTTTACCTGGTTAAAAGCAGAAAAATCTGAATAAACAAGTCACAGAGGGAAGAGCACAGTAAAATCTCAGCCGATCAATGGTTGCCTCGGGCTGGTAGCTGAGGGTAGCGATTGACCACAGAAGGGGTGAGAGGGAATCTAACTTGTGTGCTGAAATAGGATTGTGGTGATGGTGTACATTTAACTGTAAATTTACTAACACTCCTCCAACTGGATGCTTAGAAGGTTCAAGTCTTCTGTATGTATGTTTTATCACAATACACGGTTAAGAAGAAAACCATCAGACGATCTGGATCTAGACCCCGTTTCGGATCTCTTTATCAGTAGTGTACACTTGGTTAAAGCATGAACTTGAAGGCTTTTCAAGGCTTCAGTTTCCTCACCTGTATGAGACCACTGAAGGATGGTCTGGGAAAAGCAAGAGCAGGACCCAGGAGAGAAAGGGATCGGTTTGGAAGTGCGAGTGTCTGGACTGATTTAACTCAGCCCAGGGTTACTCTGCTTACTTTTTTTTTTTTTTTTTTTGGGCCACACTGCGTTGCTTGCAGGATCTTAGTTCCCCGACCTAGGATCGAACCCGTGCCCCCTGCGCTGGGAACGCGGAGTCTTAACCACTGGGCCGCCAGGGGAGTCCTACTCTGCTGACTTTGGATACGTGAGTGTAGGTCTATGGAGTCACGGTGAAGACGTAAACTTGGCCATGATGAACCACACAGCCCAGGATGCAGTCCCCGGGGCGATGTGTGGTCTTTAGTTCCTGAGAGAAGGCCAAGTTCAAACTGGTGCTACCATGCGGTCTGAACCTAAATTGATGTGAATGTGCTCTTCACACATTTTTTTTTTTTTTTTTTGTGGTACGCAGGCCTCTCACTGTTGTGGCCTCTCCCGTTGCGGAGCACAGGCTCTGGACACGCAGGCTCAGCGGCCATGGCCCACGGGCCCAGCCGCTCCGCGGCATGTGGGATCCTCCCGGACCGGGGCACGAACCCGTGTCCCCTGCACCAGCAGGCGGACTCCTAACCACTGCGCCACCAGGGAAACCCTTCACACATCTTTTAAGTGCAATTTCACATCTGCACCACATTCAAACTATCCAAGCATCCCTGCAGAGACCACTGTTCGTCTTTTTTCACAAATGGCACGTTCGGGGACATCTTTAAATAGAAAATATAAAACCCACAGCAAACATGGCCACACCTCCGCTGTATACATGCAGGCAGAATGCAACCAGGTGTTCAGAGTCCAGCAGGGTTATTGACCTTGCAAGTTGTTGAATGGCATCAACAAAGCTCACAGGGCCCCACTCTCACGACCCTGAGACCCTCTTCTGCTGATACACAGACACAATCATTCCGATTCGTCCAAACTCTCTTGGTAGTAAGGCTCAATCTCCACCGAAGCCTGGAGGCAGGGTTTTCTTTGTAGAGAGCTCATGCTGAACACCATCTCCCACCCCTTCATACCAGCCGGCTTGCTGGCTACTTCCTCTATTCTGGGGATTTGAGAGAGGATTTCTCTTCTTGTTTAGGGACGTGTGACCGGATATCAAAGTCAGGAACTGCTCAGTGTGGCATTCAAGGCCTCTCACGCTCTGGCCCTGTCTCATTTTCAGTCTCATATCCTGCTACTCCCCACCCCAAATCCTCGGCAGTATCTAACTCTTGCTGTTCCTCTACTTTGCAAAGCCCGCTGAGACATGGGCTTTCTGCACATGCTGTCACGACCACTGTGAAAAGCAGGGCAATCTGACAGAGTCAATAGTGCTAAAAAGCTACATTTTTTAAAAAAAGTCTCAAGCAATAGAATAAAAGTCATCCCTCATTCCACCACGGTTAGAGCAGGCTTTCACTTTCTACTTTATTAATTTCTGAACGGAGACTTGCACAAACCTGTTTGACTTAACCGTGCCCCCGTTCCTCCTTCTTTCCACACCATTACGGGGGACTTTCTAATTGGAAAAAATAATGATCTTTTTAGAAGTCTTTCGGAAATGGGTTGACATGGCGGTCACCGTGGGCTACCTCCTGGGTCTCCATTTCCGTTCCTTCCTCTTCGGGAACCGTAGTGTCCTTCCTTCAGGCAGCTGTCACCCCTTCTCCACGCAGGCAGTGGGGCTTGGGAGGCTGGTCTCACTCATCAGGTCCTTCCATCCCCCCATCAGGGATGAGTTAGGAATCCTTACTGGAGCCAGTCGGGACAGGGCACTAGCACCCATGAGAGGCTGTTACTGGCCCAGCAGTGAACTTACGTTTAAAACTGGTCCCACCAGCCTAAAGGGGGGGACTCACATGTCATGGTTTAGGGGGAAAGAGAAGGGAGAGTCTGTTTACTGGGGGATATGAAGAGTTGGATAGGAAGTATCTGTCCTATTCCTCAAAGGGATATTAAACTTAATGTACATAACTGAAAGTCCTCAAAGAATTGCCTGTTAAAATTTAACTGTGGATTTTCTGTGCAATCTGGAGTTCAAAGATGAGACACCGTGCTGAGGTTTGAGTAATATCTCTCCTCCCTCTGGAGTTCAATACATATAAGTACATATTCGTTAATGTAAAATGTTATCCCACAATCCCTATCTCCCAAGGGCTTGCCTGGAGGACAAGTGGGGAAGACAAAACAGTTAAAGTACCACAGTGGTAACTGTCAAGATTAAGGTATGAGGGGGTTCCTAGAAGACAAGAGGGAAGGGTGATCAGAGAAGGATCTTAGAAAAAGTAAGCCCTGAGCTGAGATTTGATGTAAAAGATGAATAACAGAGAGGCACAGGAAGGGCTCCAGGCAGAGAAGAAAGAATGCAGCAAATACAAACTATTACAGAGAGAATGGATAAACAACAAGGTCCTACTGTAGAGCACAAGGCACTATATTCAATATCCTGTGATAAACCATAATGGAAAATATGAAAAAGAATGAAAAAGAATATATGCGTGTGTGTGCGTGTGTATATATAAAATATATAAAACTGAATCACTTTGCCATACAGCGGAAATTAACACAACATTGTAAATCAGCTCTACTTCAATAAAATACATTAAAAAAAAAACACACAACGCAGCAAACACAGAGTAAAGTGTTCAACAAAGATGCTGGGACAACTGGAAAGCCACAAGCAAAAGAATGAAGCTGGACCCTGACTTCACACCATATATAAAAAGTAGCTCAAAAGTGGATCAAAGGCCTACATATAAGAGCTACAACTAGAAAACTTTTAGAAGAAAACATTAGGCAATGGTTTCTTAGATATGACATCAAAAGCACAAGGAACAAAATGAAAAGTAGATAAAACGGACTTCATCAAAATTAGAAACTTGTGTGCTAAAAATGATACCATCAAAAAAAAGTAAAAAGACCACCCACAGAATGGGAAAAAAATAGTTGCAAATCATATATCTGATAAGGAACTGGTATCTAGAATATACAGAGAACACTTAAACAGCTCAATAATAAAAAGACAGGCCAATTAAAAATTGGGCAAAGAATCTGAATAGACATCTCTCCTTAGAAGACCTACAAATGGCCAAAGAGTACACGAAAAGATGGTCAACATCATTAGTTATCAGATCAAAACCATAATGAGGAAGAAGGAAGCTCATTCAGAATAGGAAGAACCCAGGTTACGAAACCAGCCTACACTTTCCGGCCAGGTACTAGACGATTGCAGTGAACCACGGAATTCCAGGGCTGGAAGGGAGCACAAGGTCCTTGAGCCAACAACTGTCTGATGCCTGAGTTCCACCCCAAAAGAGTTATCCTGGCTTTGATCAAAGACCTCCAGAGATTCGCCACAAAGGTAGCTCAGTTTTTCCATCTTTGGACGTCGTGGACCATCAAACCCTTCTCCTTGCGGCTTGGCTGTCACCCTTGACCCAAAGTTCTTCCAGTGAGGCCACCGGGGCAGGCTGACTCTCCCCCGGGCCAGGCCTCTGGCTTGTTGGCAGGAGCTGCCATGTGTCCTGCACTGGTCTTCTCTATGCAAATGTTCCCATCCCTTCAAAGGTTCCTCGGGGACAAGGTCTAGAATCTCTTCTCTGGTCCTTCTCAGAAATCACTAGGGAATTCCCTGGCGATCCAGTGGTGAGGGCTTGGTGCTTTCACTGCTGGGGCCCGGGTTCAATCCTGGGTTGAGGAACTAAGAGCCCGCAAGCTACGAGGTGGGGCCAAACAAATTTTACAAGTCACTAGAATTCCTTAGGGGAAACTTAAACAGACCACCACTGGCCTATTAATGTAGCTAAAAAGAAAACAGCTGTAGGCCGTCACAGCACAGTTGATGCAGACAGCGCTGGCCAGGCACGAAAACCACTAAGCTGATTTCACCCAAGGTGTTAGCAAACCACATCTTCTCCATCCATCTCACAAGTACACACAGTGCTCTACTCTTGCACAGAGAGCTCACATCTCTCCTCAATTAACCCAGGCTCGAGAGCAATGATCTCTGTTGTTGGTCAGGAGGTCAACGGCCTGATGAATGAAATGGACAGGATAGAGGGGACGCACAGAGAATGTGGAGAAGTGTAGCAAAGGGACGAGTTCACAGATACCAGCAATCATATATCACAGTGTCAAGTGTCAGCATTTCAGGGTTTTTCCAGGAGACAAAAAACAGAGACAGGATGTCTGCAAAGTTTATCCAAGCGAGCTGTGGAAGGCCTCGGAATTGAAAGGGATTTGGGAATGTCTGCAAGGCCAGCCGTTCGGGAGGGAAAGCCCGAGCGGATGATGCGGGACCACATCCTGCTCCAGCAGAGAGGAGGGGCTCATGCTGCCGAGATGAACTGAGTCGGCCAACATCTGAGGGACAGAAACAGCAGGGGAGGAAGGCCCCGTGATCAGCAAGACCCCTGAGACACAAGGGTTCTGCACAGGCCAAGCTGTGCATGTATTAACTACAATACACTCTTTTCATTTACATGTTTATACCTGTCTGTACTATGAAAAATGTGAGGTACTTCAAAGCATATACAGAAGAGAAACACGTGAATAAAAACCAGGCCTAGAAAAGGAGCTTTGTGCCTACTAGCTTACTGGACTTGGATGACCACCCCACTGCACAGACGCTGTTATCTACACCTCACAGCTGAGGAAACTGGGACTCCAAACGATTCAGTCACTTGCCTCGGGTCTCACTGTTACGAAGTGGCATTTAGATTTGAATCCAGGTCAGAAGTTTGAGCTCTCTCCTCTGCATCATGCCACCTGTAACTTCTGGCTTCCTCTCGGTGGACGCTCCCTACCCCAGCAGAGAGCAGAGTCATCAGGAGACGGGACTCTGAAACCACACTGCTGGGTCCAAGCCTTCACACCACCACTTACTTGCTGAGATAACCTTAGACAGGTTACTTAAGGTTCTTCCCTATACTCATCTATGACGTGGGGATGATAACAGCAGCTGTATCCCCAGGACTGTTATGAGGGTTCAATGAGTTTCTATTGCTAAAGCATTTCCAGAACAGCTACACAGTATATACTAAACTAGATTAACTAAAATAGTTAACTAAACTAGGTGTGAACTTGGGCCAGCAGCTTAACCTCCCAGGCCATCATCTGTAAGATGCAGAGAACCCTGGGATATCTCTCAGTCATGATGATCACTAAATGAGATAATACATGTAAAGCAGCCACACATGTCGGTTATCATTATGTCCAAGGCTGAACAGTATCAGATAATTTACAACTCAAACCATCAGTGAAATCAGGATTTAATATGTCAACTGATTAAAAAAATAAATATACATTGAAGGAAAAATCTTGAAATACAATGTGAAATCATTAAAACGAAAAATAAAACACAGAAATGACAAATGATACTAAAAGAATTTCTTCCTGATCTGCTTTAAGTACAGGTACGCTGGCAGCGTCATGGTGTATTAACTCCATGACAGGTGCCCTACGGGGTCAAATGGAACTCACCTCACCCCACGACTTCAGTACATGGGGGAAGAACAGTGAGTGTCAGGTGGGCGTTTTGAAGTGCTAAGGTTAAGTGTTTTCCCTTCTGTTGATAACTTTCATGAACATTTATTTATAACACTCGAGAGACAATATTACTATTTAAGCGTACACTTGGAAATATTCTAATTGAAACCACACTGATGGAATATCTAACCTTTATGCGGTTGGGGTCCACATAATGCACTTTTTTCATGTCACATTCTTCAGTAGTATAATTTAACTTGAGGATATAAAGGATCCACACTCCGAACACAAGCAATGTACACCTAGAAAACAAAAATCAATTACGTATAATGACGTCGTCATGTGATAATCAAGAGAGATCATGTGAAATAACTGAAAACCTAACCCAAATAGAGTCTGCCTGCCACACAGCATAAAAGTACAGTCTTTAAGAAGACCTCTTAATTTAACGCAGCATTTCTTATTTTTCTAACAAGATAAGTCATTTATGACTGTCTTTGTTATAAGCAAATATAGAAAAAACATTTTTCTGCAAAGGTACTGCAATAAAATCTGAATCACAATATAGATTACTGGACTTAAAAAAAAACTAAGTAATAAATTTTGAACGACAGAATCTCAGCTTCAATTTTTTGCCACTTTAAAATAGTCAGTCCTGAAGATGGTTGTTTTGAGACTTTAGTCTGCCATCTTCTCAGATGCCTGGCTTTTGGAATAAAGTCATATTCCTTGCCTCAATTAAAAAAAAGAAAAAAAAAGTCAGTCTTGGGACTTCCCTGGTGGCGCAGTGGTTAAGATTCTGCGCTCCCAATGCATGGGGCCCAGGTTCAATCCCTGGTGAGGGAACTAGATCTCACATGCATGCCGCATTAAGAGTTCACTCTACAACTAAGGAGCCCACGTGCCACAACTAAGGAGCCGGTGAGCCACAACTAAGGAGCCCACCTGCCGCAGAGAAGACCCGGTGTGACCAAATAAATAAATAAATAAATTTTTTAAAATTAAAAAAAATATATATATATAGCATTTAGCATAGTATACCATAGATGCTAAATAGTTCTTAATATTTGAGGATTATGTTGCAAAAAAGTATTGCTAGGAAGTGTTTTCAAGACTTCTTCATTCTCATTTCGATAGACTCTACCATGAAAACTTGGACAAGCATCTTAATTCTTCTCTGGGATCAAATACAACGCTAAGTGAATGGGATGCAACTATTTGCATAAAAAAGAGACGGTCGGGGGAGGGGAATACACACACACAGTATTTCTTACATACACAAGACTGCTAATATTGGTCATCTTTAAGTGGAAAGAGGAAATGTGGGGAGCAGGGATGGGAAGATGTTTTACTGAGTAACTTTAACATCTTTTTGAATCTTGTGAATGCAGTATGACCTATTCTTTTCTCCAGTCCCAGAAAAGGTATTATATTCAGTGCATTAATAATTCCCTTACTTTGATTATAAAAGAAAAAAAAGGGGGAATTCCCTGGCGGTCCAGTGGTTAGAACTCTGAGCTTTAGATGCAGGGAGCACGGGTTCAATCCCTGGTCGGGGAACTATGATCCCACAAGCTGTGCGGTGTGGCCAGAAAAGAAAAAAAAAAAGGAAGGAAGAAAAAGTTAAAAGCAGGCCCAGAATCTACAGCGCCCTGATTCCGTTGTTCTGTAATTCCTGGTTGCAAGTCTGTCTCGGCCACACAGTAAGCAGCACGGGGCCCAGGTCTATCTCCCATGCGGCCAGCACCCAGCATGGTGCCAGGCGTATGGGGGCCTCGATAATTACTGGCTGATGACAAAAGGAGATGGAAAATGATCTGAGTGTTTATTAACATACATTTCCTTTCCCACCTTTCTTCTTCTACACCTCCCGAATTAGTAACATGAGATGGGAGGCTAGATTTCAGGGTTGGATTTCTACCTGTCGGCATGAAAGAAAGGGTAGTTTACCACCTAGTTTGGCTGGTACCAAGTAAAACTGACAAGTTCCTCCTTTAACAATTCTATCTCGGGAGTTCCCTGGTGGTCTAGTGGTTGGGATTGGGTGCTTTCACTGCAGTGGCCTGGGTTCAGTCCTCGGTCGGGGAACTGAGATCCCACAAGCCTTGCCGAGTGGCCAAAATTAAATAAATAAATATAATAAAATATTTAAAAAACAAAAAAACAATTCTATCTCTTACTAGGATGTACGGGTGACCTGGCTGGTACCCCTCTCATCCTTTTTAGTGTTTGATGTTCAATGTTATTCAAATGCCTGTAGGGGACTTTAATTAACCGTATTTTAGATTCACCGGAAATGGCAAAGGCAAAGGGGATAGCCCTCTTGCACTAGGCAGCGGCTGGAAGGGCTGTGCACTAGAAGCTGCGGAGCCTGGAGACTCCCGGGCTGGTGCTGTGCTGCCACCACGCACAGCCTGATGCAGGAGCCACAGCACCTGGGCTCTGAGCCTTGACTCAGATGTGCCTTATTTCTTTCTTTCTTTCTTTTTTTTTTGCGGTACGCGGGCCTCTCAGTGTTGTGGCCTCTCCCGTTGCGGAGCACAGGCTCCGGACGCGCAGGCTCAGCGGCCATGGCTCACGGGCCCAGCTGCTCCGTGGCACGTGGGATCTTCCCGGACCGGGGCACGAACCCGTGTCCCCTGCATCGGCAGGCGGACTCTCAACCACTGCGCCACCAGGGAAACCAAGATGTGCCTTTAAATGATCCTGAACAAGGGTGACAGCGGATGAGAGCCATCTTCAGGGTTCTCACTGAATTTTTCCCCCAGTTCTATCCAGTTGACCCAAATCAGAGGTGTCTTGCGACCTGAGGGCTCGTGCTTACTTGAGGATGTCTTTTAACAACAAGCTGGGTCTTCTCATCTTGTTCTGAGCACGGGTGTACCATTGCAGGGAGGGCCGCGAGCAATCGCTTTGCAGCTTCACACGGTTATACTGGCTTGGCATTGCTGTGAAGAGAGGAGAGGGCAGGAGAAGGGAAAGAGGAAAGTGAGTTCAGCAGATTATGCTTTTAAAGAGCTTTTTTTTTTTTTTTTCTTGGCCTCTCTGCGCAGCTTGTGGGATCTTAGTTCCCCGACCAGGGACTGAACCTGGGCCCTTGGCAATGAAAGCGCTGAGTCCTAACCACTGGACCGCCAGGGAATTTCCTAAAGAGCTTTTTTTTTTTTTTGCAGTACGCGGGCCTCTCACTGTTGTGACCTCTCCCGTTGCAGAGCACAGGCTCCGGACGCGCAGGCTCAGCGGCCATGGCTCACGGGCCCAGCCGCTCCACGGCATGTGGGATCTTCCCGGACCGGGGCACGAACCCGTGTCCCCTGCATCGGCAGGCGGACTCTCAACCACTGCGCCACCAGGGAAGCCCTCCTAAAGAGCTTTGATGCGGTATAGCCATACCGTGAAATACTACTCAGCCAAAGAAATGAGTGACCGATTGATACACGCCACTGGATGAATCTCGAGGCAATTATGCTGAGCCAATACTAAAAGGTTACACGTTGCAGGATTCCATTTATATAATATTCTTGAAATGACAAAGTTACAGAAATGTAAACAGATTAGGTGTCAGGGGTTAGGGAGGGGGTGGTGCAGTGGCTATGGAAGGGCAACAGGAGGGGTCCTTTTGGTGATGGAAATATTCTGTATCTTGACTGTACCCCTGTCACTATCCCAGTTGTGCTATTCTACGGTTTTGCAAGATGCTACCATTGGGGGGAAAGGAGTAATCTGTGTTATTTCTTACAACTGTGTGTGACTCTACAACTATCCCAAAAGTAAAAGTCTAATTTTTGTTGAGTCTTTAACTATTAGAGATACTTACGGAACTATTTACAGATGAAACGGGAGAAATGAAATCTGCTTCAAAAAAAACCAGGAAGGGGATAAGTGTTTGTGGGAATAGCTGACACAAGTTGAGCTTTAAACTGCTGTAGAATCTGGGCAATGGGTACATGGGGCTTACTATACAATTCTCAAAACTTTTTGAAATATTCGATAATAAAAGTTTAAAAAGAAAGTGGTATATTAAAAGACAGGAAAAGGGTTACACTAAGAAAAAAAGAAAAAGAAAACATAGCAGTTTAAAAAAATTTTAATGGCAACTTTAAAAGAGGTTTTCTTTAAAAAATACATATGTTCTCTTGTATGCCTGCCTACTTATTCTTTTGAATTAATTTTATTCTCAAATTTTCAATTTTTAAGCAATATTACAAGGGGTATTGTAGTAGAAATCAAAACATCTCCCCTCATATCAGTTTCCCCCTTCCTCTCTCCTCTGGATTTTTAGCTGGGCACATGGCCTCCCAGAAAAAAGACTACATTTCTCAGCCACCCTTGGAGCTAAGTACAGCCTTGTGACTAAGTTCTAGTCAATGGGATACAAGCAAAAGTGACCCGGAGAACTTTCAGGGTGCTTTCCTTGGCATACGCCCTTTTCTCCTTTATCCCCCTTCCTGCTGGCTGAAATACTGACACTTGATGAGCCAGTTTGGACCATGCAGCATGTCACCCAAGGGATGGAGGAGCAACAAGAGAGAAGGGGCCCGGGTCCCTGGACCACCCTAAGGACAGAGCTGCCAATCCACCTTAGACTGCCTGCCTCTGGACTCTTACATGACAGAGAAATAACCCTCCATCTTGTTGAAGCAACTGTTAATTAAATCCCAGCTAATACAGGCACCGATTGTGTTATGATATTTACATATTAATTCAAGAAATAATGTCTTTACTATACTTAGTCTTGAAGGCAGGAGGAAGTTATACCTCATTATTCACTTCATTTCCCCCATTAGTGCTGTGCCATTTTCTTTGAAAAAAAAATCTTTTATCAAATTGACATCCACGTATTTGATTTCTTGCTACTGTAAACACTCTCCCTCAACTGCAATTTTAACTGTGTAACACTAGAGTACAAGAATTTTCATAGATTTGCATCACTCCATTTGAGTACTTTCAAAAAACTGAGCCAAGGGCCTCACTAGCAAACCTCTGCTGAAGAATCTACTGAATTCTTAAAGGAGAAGCGAGATCAACTGAGACCCTGGAAGGTTTTCGATCACCACAGCTTCGTGGTTACTTAGATGCACAGTCAGCCAAGTGGTGGGTCCTAGGGGGCTGCCTATGACCAGGCCATCTATAAAAAGGAAGATTCTATGATGCCCGTGTTTTTATGACCAGAATGACACTTCACACCCGCGTGGACCTCCCGAGAACAAAGCAGACGGTGGTATTGGAACCGGGATCCCACCCTTGCCCACGGCTGGCGCGCTGGATGGCGCTGTGGGCTCTGGGCTCTACTCTGCCCCCTCTTTCTCATCTGCTCTGCCACTCAGGCCGCAAGCCTGCAAACTGCACTCCCAGACTCTCTCTTGTGCCACCCAGCTTCCTGAGGAACTGCGATTGTGTGCTGTCTGGGTGGAAAACTGGAAGGCAAAGGGAGGGGGCAGCCTTTCATATCTCCATGGTTTCTGGTTTCCTGCTGGATACGGACTGGGACATCAGATGACTCTCTTCTGCTACTGGAACCAAACAGGAAGAGGTTCTGGAGGTGAGAGGAGGGTCTACAGTCCTGGACTCCTTCCTCTTCTCACCACTACTGCCACACAACACACTCACGCATCATTCAAACGCTCAAAAAAAAAAAAAAAAGAGAGAGAGATACAAAAGAAAAGAAAAAGACAGTCGTGTTTTTGTTTTGTTTTTCCTATCACACTGGAGGGGATCTCAGGAGAGACCCCTAGGCTCAGCTCCTCCACCTGCCACCTGAGAAGTCTGGGGCAACTGACTCTAACTCTTGTAGCTCAGTTTCCCCATCTGGAAAATGGGTCCAATATTACCTGCCTCCCAGGATTCATGTGGGAATGGTGGTTGCACATAAGAAGCACTACCTCAGTGCTGGCTGTTGCTACTGTTACACAGAGTGGGAAGTGACAGGCATTTTATACAACTATCTGACAGGGCTTTAAGACATCTGCATCCTTTAGGCACTCTCATTTCTGGCCACAGGTTTCCGCTCCAGCCCATCAGGGGCCTGTCTTCAATCCTATCCATGTCCCTTCCTGGGGATCTCTGGAGAGGCAGCGTCCTCCCGAAGCCCCTCCTGCGCTCACCCAGTCAGGTCCCGGTCAGTCTCTCTCTCCCCAACCCCTTTCTAAACGCCCAGCTTCCTTCACCGGCCTCTCCTCCCCACCCTGACGGCCCAGCCGCTCCTTCACTCGGTCTGCGCACCACGCCGGGTGCCTTAGAACCACGCTTCCCTCCCGACCTCTGCAATGGTAAACTCCCCTACACACGGTGCAGGACCCCAGGGTCCCGGTTCCCACCCTCAGCACCATTTCCTCCTCGCTCACGTATATTCACGACAAGGTTCACCGCTTGCCTTTTACTCACCTCCTCAAGGGATCAGACCCCAAATCCATCACCCTCTGCAGGCCTCTCACCCAGCTCGGACCTGTCCAGCTAACGACCTGCCTGCTATCCTCTCCTCAAACAAAATCACAAAGCAGAATCTTTTCACACATCATTTGGTAGCTGTACCATCTACTCAGTCATCCAAGTCCAAACCTGCAGGTTGACCCCAGACTTCTCCCTGGCATCTCCAGGCTCAATCAATCCCCAGGGCCTCTCAATCATACCTTCTTGAACTTCCCGGGCCCACGGGCATTCTCTTAGTGGAGGTCACTTACCCAGACTCCCCTGTCTCAGTTTTGTCCCTTCAAAGCCATCTTTCCGTGTACCTGCTTACTGGCTCCCAGCTCATCTCAGGTGCTGTGACGTCAGGTGACAAACTTGTCTGTTACACTCTAGCCACAAAGAAGTACTGTTAGAAGGCTGGATGTGCCACACTGTTGCCTCCGTGCCTTTGTACAGATGCACGCTCCGTCTGGAATCCTGGTGGGAATCCCCCCCACCAACGATCTGCCTGGTGAAGTGTCTCCTTTCATCCTTAAACCCTTCTCCTTCTCTGTGAAGATCATTTTCAACACCATAACTGTCCCTGGGCACTTCCCCATCTCTGTTTATGAACTGAAATGTTCTGTGTACGTTTGGGGTCTCCTCTACCTTTCTGCAAGCACCTGGAGGACTGAGCTGCAGGGCCGGGGCTCTGCTCATCTTTGTAACCCTAACACCTAGGATAGGGCTTGGCACACAGCAGGCCCTTAAGAAACATCCCACATTGAATGGAATGTGCATGACTCGCCTATGGCCTGTTATCAAACAAGATAAACTCCCCCTCCCCACAAGTGTACTTTCCCAATGATATTTAAGATTAAAACTAAAACTGAATGTTAACAGCAATTCTAAGAGCAAAGAGTAAAGTGTAAACTCTACTGAAACATCTAACATGTCGAGCAGCAGGGGAATTTGTTGGTAAATTATGGTGCAAACCACTTAGAATACTCTGCAGTTGTTAAAGCCTTTGCTACAGAAGTGCAATCTGTGGCCACAGCCTCAGCATCAGCTGGGAGCAGGTTAGACTTGCAAAGTCTCAGCACTGCCCCCTCCATCTGCTGAATCACAGGATTCATATGAACGTTAAAGTCTGAGAAGCACTCAAGGTATTCGGTTCATACATTTATTGGCACAGAAAGATACTGCAAGAAAAAAGCAGGTCTGTAAAAAATTATGTCTATATACCTATAATCGTGTTCTAGGGTGCACCTACTCAAGGTAGGAGAATTTGATTTCCCGTGAAGTCAGTGAATCCTCCTACTTGGGTTGGAATGTCTTCTTCCAATTTAGAAGGGACCATATAGATTCAACACGACAAAAGGAGGGCCAAGCAGAGTCATCTTCACACACGTGCTGTTGACGTACGGCTGGGTGGCCTTAAGATGCTCCCTTGGAGAACCTGGGGTTTACGTATTTCTAGTCATGATCATCTCTGCACCATCTGCACTGTGTCCATTCATTTCTTTTGTCTTTAATGTGCTGTTTGGTGGAGGACGGGTTGCAATGAAAAGTTCAATTAAAACGCTTATCATCATGAGACGTGTTACACATCATTTCTGTCTTTTTAATATACATTTATCTCTCGTCTTCCCCACCGGAATGTAGACTCCATGAAAGCAGGGGTCTTTGTTTTGCTCACCACTGAGTTCCCAGTGCCTACGATGGTAAGGGGCACACAATAGGCAACTAATACGTATTTACTGAATAAATACTCAAGCTTCTTATGAGGTTTCAGAGGTGATGCTGGTTTCAGGCATTCCTCCCAGGACGTGTGTTGGCAAGCCATCACCATCTGTTCCGTGGCACTCTCCTGGCTCTGCTTCTCCATTTCCTTCACGGGCAGCTCGTCCCCTACCACCTCCTTCTAAGTGCTAGGGTCCCAAGGCTCATAAATGTGTCCCTCCTTTCATTCAGACTGCCAGAGTAAGAGCCTCCACTAACCCTTTCTACGCAGAAAAGGCCTGGCTTTCAAAATTATATATTTCTACTCACAGGTAAAACTGTCACAGATGCTTCTCAAGTGCCTGTATACCTGATGAAGAAATCATTCTTATTAAGGCCCTGATGAAGAAATACTAAGGCAAGGTCCAGGCCTTCAGTCCACTTGTAGAACTGGCACTAACATTTTCAAATTAAGACTTAACCATCCAAGATAAGAATACAACAGATGCTGCAAAGCAGTACATGACAAACTGTCAGATTAACTGTAGAGCCAATTACTGGTGCAAGAGAGGGTAGGACATTAATATTTATTGGGAGGAATAAGCCTACACACGATATCATTAAATCCGAAAAACACCTTCTTTGGGGACTTCCCTGGTGGTCCAGTGGTTAAGAATCCACCTTCCAATGCAGGGGACGCAGGTTCGATCCCTGGTCAGGGAACTAAGATCCCACATGCCACGGGGCAACTAAGCCTGCACGCCGCAACTACTGAACCCACCCGCTCTGGAGCCCTCACACCACAACTAGAGAAGCCCGCATACCACAACAAAGATCCCACGTGCCGCAACTAAGACCCGATGCTGCCACATCAATCAATCAATATTTAAAAAACCCAAACACCTACTTTTTTGAATTGCTATCTGCATTTAACCTGCCGAAGGTCACACACAGACAAGTAGGGAGCTGAAATTTTCAGCCAACATCTATCCATGTCCAGGTCCACGCCCTTCCACCTGGGGGTGCTTAGGCACGGTAGATATTGGAATTAGGTGGGTATGCCTGTATGTGAAGGGTTTTTTGGTTCTTTATTTTTTTTAATAATAAAGGCACGCCAAAGCACAGATTATTAACAAAAACCTGAAACTGACAAAGCAGTAAATAAACCGACACAGCTGGAGAGGACAATCTGGGAAGATGAGCAGGTAGAGCTTAGATATTAACACGGCAGCCGGAAGAGCATATGCCCTTCAAGGTGGAAGGTGTCTTGAGAAGGACTTCACAGCAAGAGAGAAGGAAGCCTCACCCTAGGCTGTCCGGGGACAGCGGGGCACGACACTGGACGCTCGGGTGGAAAGGGAGCCTGAGGCCCATCCTGGTGAGGAAGAGGATGGGACGAGGACAGAGATCGATCAAGAAATGATGATATGTTTATGTATGACTGATTCACTTTGTTATAAAGCAGAAACTAACACACCATTGTAAAGCAATTATACCCCAATAAAGATGTTAAAAAAAAAAACGAAATGATGAAGGGGCTTCCCTGGTGGCGCAGTGGTTGAGAGTCCGCCTGCCGATGCAGGGGACGTGGGTTCATGTCCCTGTCCGGGAGGATCCCACATGCCGCGGAGCGGCTGGGCCCGTGAGCCATGGCCGCTGAGCCTGCGCGTCCGGAGCCTGTGCTCCGCGATGGGAGAGGCCACAACAGTGAGAGGCCCACGTACCGCAAAAAAAAAAAAAAGAAATGATGAAGACTAGCGCCAAAAAGAAGCAGGCAAAGATCAACCTGGGTCCCGGTTATGGAAAGCAATAGGACTGGAAGTCAATTTTTGTGGTTTAGTGATGATGATGTGAAGAACTTGAGATGATAAATAACTCGACAAAGACGCCCAGGACGCAGCTGGAAATGCGGCCTGGACTCCCCAGAATGCCCCTCCCTCCAGCCAGCCTTTCTTGGCAGGTCCGAGACTGATTAACTTCTCTCCTGTGAACCTCGACTGGTACAAGTCACACGCCATCCACGGGAAAGTGGAGAAGACAGTCACTGAAATCATGCTTGGATTTTATGTTTTAGATGAAGAACTGTACTTGATAAAGGAGGACAGGAGACAAGACAGAAAGCCTGCCTCAGGGGGAGACGGCTTTGGAATGCGCAGAGATTAAACACCTCCCAGTGCCAAGGATAACACACCCAGCTACAGCAGGAGCAGAGGGGGCTGGGTGAGGAGGGGAGACCCACCCCGTGGGCAGAAGGAATGAGCAAAGCAGAGGCCTGGGGAGTCTGCAGAGCGAGTGACTAGGTACAGCTGCGAAAGTATGGCCTGGGGTGTGGGTGCAGGCAGGAGTTAAGGGCAATACTGTGGTCTCGTTGGACGCCCCAGGGCTGGTGCCACATCTCAGCTGTGAGTGTTGACTGCTGACAGCACACCGCTGCCCCCTTTTCTGAGGATCTGTCCTCTGTCCCCAGCCAACGATTGACTGACAGGGGGACAAAAGGCCTGGGATTACCCTGGAGAGCAATTCAAGCTCCAGAGCTCCCTGGGGGAGCAGCTGAGACCACAATTCCTGTTCCAGGCTCTGCTTCTAGGGAACCTGACCTAAGACAGGTCATTAGGTCAGCAGGGTCAACATATGGGTGATGGCAGAAGGTCACGGACGATCATGAGAAGCCCCTGAAGATTTTATTCAGGGGGGTCATGAGATGTGGAAGAGAGTCGCCGGGGAGGCAGCAGGGACGGGGTGGAGGGGGAGAGCCAGAGACTGGACTGGTCTCAGCAGCAGACCCTGTGCCCCAGCCCCCATGCTGTGGCCAGGCGGGCAGGAAGGGCTTCCAGCTGCAGAAGAGACAGGGCTTGAGGCAGGTCAGATGTGGCAAGCAGGCAGGCGGGAGGAGAACTCAAGTGTCAGGGAGGTCACAAGGAGGACGTGTGCCCTTGCGGAGTCCCCAGTGCCAGTGGGCCATTAGGCTGATAAATGCCAGCTTGGAGCCCTGGGGAGGGATCTAAGCTGGAGTATCAGTCAGGGGTGCACTTGGTCGCACGTAACAGAAACCTGGGCACCAGCCGAGGCTTTCAGCCAACTGCGGGTGTCTTTTTTTTTTTTTCTTTTTTTTGGCCATGCCACGAGGCATGCGGGATCTTAGTTCCCCAACCAGGGATCAAACCCGTACCCCCTGCAGTGGATGTTTGAAGTCCTAACCACTAGACTGCCAGGGAATTCCCCAGGAGTGTGTTTTTCTTACAGAACAGATGCAGTGGCTCTGCAAAGCTGTCCCTGTCCCTGGCTCCCACCAGCCTCTGCTCCAAACTCCAAGCAGGAAGGAGAAGAGGGATGAGCCAGAGAGGAAGGGGAGGCACCCCCATCAGGAAAGGAAAAACTTCCCCGGAAATCCCTGACGGGCTTCCAATTCTATCTTGTTAGCCAGAACTGCATCACGTGACTACCCCCAGCCGCAAAGTTGGCCAGGAGCTTTTCACAAATTGGGCAGGCTGCTTCCACACAAAATTAGGATTCTGCCAGTAATGAAGGAGGAGAGAGGGAATCTCTAAATCAGCAGTAGGGCCAGCCACAGCTGAGATAAGGGCCTGGGGCTGTTTAGATAAAGGATCAATTAAGGCTGTTCTAAAGAGATTAGATCTCCAAGGGGAAGAACAAAAGGCAGAGCCTTCTAGGGGTTGGAGAGGTGAGGAAGAAGCACAGGAGGTGTTGCTGGAAATCAGAAAAGGAAACCTTAAGTAAAATCTGTGACTCTGCTGTGACAGTTCCAAGCCTGAGTTCCATAACGCTCCGGAAATTCAACTATTTAAGAAAGGAGCACAACAGTTCCTAAAACAAAATGCATTTTGGATCGCTTTAACCTAAAAAAGTAATATGGGTGTCCCCACCGTACACAGAAAAAAGGGTGACTTCTAATTTCATCAGTTCCTCCAACATGCTCTGTGGGAATGCCAAGATGAAATGGATTCAGTCCCCGCTTTCTAGAAACCCGAGGTCCAGGGAAATGACAACAGGAACGTAACTCCAACGGCGTGGGGAGGGCTTCAGGAAAGCAGGCTGTTCACAAGTGTGGTGCCTGACATCCAGCGCAGACACAGGCACGGTGGCCTCCCCAAAGCCCACCCACAGGTACTATCACAAAAGCCACGGGGCTAGGGCCCAGAAGCTGGGAAGCAGTGGGTCAGAGTGAAGTTCTAAACTAAACTTTCTTCTGCCCCCAGTCAACAGGAAGGAGAAGTGGCGGGGGGAAGATGGCCTCGTTGGAAAAGTTCAAAAGCACACCAGCCAGGGCCTTACCTGGGGCTCACAGGGTCTTGGTGACCTGTGCTCCCTGTCCAACCAAGCTGACAGGCATCCTCATATAATCTAGGTGGCTAATTTCAAACCAGTTTCAGCCGTGGAACTCTTTTTGTGTTTCAAACAGGAACACTCGCTTAGAATCTTAACATATAACACAGATAAGAGGCATGGAGTTGATCGCTTGCAGGGTTCCTCTGC